GCAACAGAACCCGAGTCGAAGTTTAGCGTCTACATTGAACCTCAATTCCTCTTTTTTTATGTAGGAGTAAGAAAAAAAGTAGATGCTACTTTGATGCTGCTATACGTCCGAAATTTCCTTTTTTCAAAAATTGAGGTTCAATGTAGACGCTAAATTTCGACTCGGGAATAAGTTTGACAAAATTTTATTTTAACTCAACGTGAATTATTCAACCGCGACGCATAAATAACCCGAGTCGAAATTTAGCGTCTACATTGAACCTCGATTCCTCTTTTTTTATGTAGGAGTATGAGAGAAATTAGATCCTACTTTGACGCTGCTATACGTCCGAAATTTCCTTTTTTCCTGCTAAAGTTTTAAAGCAGGGTTCAATTCTCAGATCAGACTGTGCATTGCAGGCTCTGATAGGCTCAAAATAGGCTCTGATAGGCCAAAGTAGGAGTAAGAAAAAAAGTAGATGCTACTTCGACGCTGCTATACTTCCGAAATTTCCTTTTTTCAAAAATTGAGGTTCAATGTAGACGCTAAATTTCGACTCGGCAAAACTAAAAAAAAATTACATTGGTAGTACTTAAAAATAATTTAAAACCCGAAAACTTACATCCAGGTGGCGAGCCCTTCTTTCTGGCAATCCTGTAGGGCTGATAAGAATCGCCCGGTTCTACCTTGCCGTACATCGTCCGATCCATCGCCATGTTTTTCTACTCACACATATACGCGCACGGTTTTACGCGCGCGTAATACGCGATAAATATAATCGAACGCGTGCGTGTGTACGCGTGCGCGCGCGTATAAATGCACGTGTTCACTCACGTGGCGAAACGTCCGCTATAAACGATGACATAAGTCGCATCACGTCTCCCTCACCCCAGTGAGAGAGTAATTACGGTGCTCGATGTTGCGTGAATTGACGTTAATTTAACGGATTAGCGTGATGGAAGACGTCACTTCCGAAACGGAACAAGCTTAAATTTTGCGCGATACAACCGGCTGTCGGTCGGTCGCGTTTTTTTTATCAAACTTAATTGTAAACTAGAAAAGAGTTGTTAAAAACTCTATATCGTGATCTTCGAGTCTCCGTACGTAGTTTTTCTTTTTTCGTAAAGTTAACAATTAAATTATTGTCACAAATAATAATAGTATTCGTGCGAATAACCGTCTGTCTGTTTTACCAATTTATTTCTGATTTTAGAATTTCAAATATTTAAATAAAATCAAATGCGCGATGAAGAGAAGAAAGAGACAAAGCGTCAGGTATTATATACGTACGTACGCGAGCGAAATGGTTCAACGGAAGAGAGATTGATCCTTGATTGTGTTAGTAAAGTTCAAGCAGAGACCACAGACTCTAAATTAGATTATACTAATTTTAACGCACGTGTAAGACTTTATTTAAACACCAAGTTTCGCGCGTGAAAAACTTGTTCTTTTTTTTTTTTCAAGAAAAGTAGCAATTTTCAACAACAATACAATTTCTCGTCGAAAAATTTATTTTATGTAATATAACTACTTTACTAGAACTATAGAAAACAAATTATTGTCTCTTTTTTTTGACTTTATACCTTCCGAAGAAAATCTTCATTCAAATACGACGAATGATGATGTTTCGAATTGAGAACCCGACTGAAATAAAAGCACACTGTATTTTTTACACGCGATCGGTGTCGTCAAAGGTATACGTCTGTACGGCACTCCGGGAGTCAACGGACCCGTTTTCGTGGCTCTCGTATTATTCGCGGTCGAAACAAGCGGACGAAGATGATTCGTCGCGATTCCTCGCGAAGACGCCGAATTTCGAAGTAACGAAACGACGACGACGACGACGAACGCGGAAACAAACGTCGGGATGGAAAATTTGTCGCGACTGTGCGCGATTACACCCGGCTCTTTGGCACGAAAGCCGGAGCGCCGGCGAAATAAGAGTAAATTGAAACGCGCTCTCCACGCGAGTGTATTTCCGGCGCTCACCCGCGCCCAGTGTCACAGAAAGGTTGTCTTTCGGTTCTCTTTCAAAGACGTCGCGATGAAGAGAGAAAGAGAAAGAGAAAGAGAGAGAGAGAGAGAGAAAAAAAAATGCAAAGAGAAAAAGTCACTAAACGAGGAAAAAAGGTAAACAGAGAAAGAGGGAAGAAATAGAGAAAAAATGCAAAGAGAGGGGTGGAAAGAAAAACATAAAAAAAAAACTGAAGAGATACAGGGAAGAGCGTCGCGACGCCAAGAAAGAGACTCGGGAGAACGAAGACAAGAAACAGAGACGCAAAATACAATCTGTTGATTTTTTGACGTTAAAATTAATACGAAAAAAATTCGGGTAGATATTATTAGATAATAAATAGTACAGACATTTTGATCAAATTAATTAATCTTCGTTAAAAAAAAAAATTCAAATACGTCACAAAATATGATTCGGCGCACAATGTAATGCGTTCGGCGATCAGATATGTGTACAAAAACTAGAATTGCTATCGTTATCAAGGTTACTATGTTATCAATATGCAAATGCCCATTGACCGCGTTATACAAAATATTACACCGACTTGTTACATCGCAAGTTTTATTTCTTTGATCGAAAATATTTTATTTTCATTGACGAAAATATATTATTTCGTTTTTTACAATTACGATGGATTAATTATCGCACTCACTTGACGCGTTATTGTTTGTTCTTTTATAATAATACGTACAATATTCGTACGATAATTTATTATAACACGTGTGAGATACGTGTAACTTTACACATTTACTTTGTATTTACTCGCGCGAAAAAGATTTTCTTTTCCGATTTTAAAATCCATAATCTTTCCGATCCGGGACGACCGTCTCCCTTCGCGCGAACCAACCGATCAGCGGCACCATAACAAGTACGTGACAAACTAATGTGCAGGTGGCATAACACTGATGCAACGAGGCCTCGTCACCATATACGAGATGATAAAGTGCGATCGCGCCCCTCCAGCTCTCCGCTCGCAACTTTTTCCCTCCGCCCTCGCGGGCGAATAGACTCCGTCTAGCGTCGCATATATTCGCGATAATCTAACACGTGGGGGGAAGAGACCGTCGAGAAAGTGTCAAAAAAAAAAAAAAAAAATTGTACAGCGAAACGCGATTTTTGACGTCGCATCAGACCAGATTGTTATTGGTTAAATCGTAAAATTTAGAAAAAAAAACAAAAAAACAGACGGATATTTAAAAAGATTACTTTTACACGCTTGTGTTTTTCTGGACTTCCAAACATATCTCAGTTCAAAATCCAGAATCTTCAATACTTGACAGACGCAAACAAGATCGATCGGTAGAAACGTCAATGTTTGCAACGGGCGGCATGACAGATGTCGATGTGTTTCGCAATTTTTTCAAACGCATAACACGAGCCAAATGTATTTTTGTTTCCAAATTATTAATTTCTACAAAATTAACATTGTAACGCAATATCGATAATAAGTTTCAACAAAACATAACATTTTCCGTAGTGTAGAATCACATTTACATATACATGTGTGCGTCCTTAAATTGTTAAACGCCTCAAGTGTTCGAACGCACGTGCATAATCTTTGATAGAGAAGTTGCCGATTACTCTTGCGACATAAATAACAATCGCTGATTAATAAATCGTAACTATGTAAGCGTATCTCTTTTTGCTGCTTTGACAGACGTCGAACGTCTTGGAGGTTAACTCGGCGCGTCTGGTGAAATTTTGAAAAACTTACTCACCCAAATCGTCCATAATATGAGTTGAGAGTGAAATCTTGCGTGAAATTCCGAGATATGCGTGTTCCCGACCGCTCGTTCGAAACGGGCACGCGAATCACGAAAAAAAAAAAAACTAACACGTCGCACAATCCTTATCCGCCGTCACACGCTGGACGATGCTGGGCCTGCTGGACAACTTCGGATTCAAAACCAAGGTTTGTATAATACACGATGGAAGAAACAAGGTGAAGCATTCTTGCGCACACGCATCCAATCAGCGCGCGGCCCCGTTTGCGGGCGCTCAATTCAAAACATGACATAATAATGATTTGATGATTACATAAAATGTATATATTTTTGAATAAATATAAGTAATCAATCATATCATATTATATTGATACTAAATAATCAGTACATCGAATATATTGAAAATCAAAAGTGATCAAATAATTACAAAAAGCAAGAATATAATAACTTATTATATCATAAATATTATATATAAACATAATAAGAGTATATTAATAAATTCCTTTCTTTTAACTATGTTCCTATAAATGTACATTGCACGAAATATTATGAAGACACGTGTAAAATTTTTTTACGTTTTTTTTCCAATGACACACTACAATCTTTTTAAATAAAAATATAAAATAATAAATATCCTGGCAAATTTGTTTGTCGGATGTAAATTCTCAATTTCAACTTTCAAATCATTCTTCAAAAACCTGCGCTTTAAATTTATCAACAACTTTTTTAAAAGAAATATTGTTATAATTTTTGTTCAACAAACCTGCACAAATTTACATGATATAAAAAGATAAAATCATTT